GGGGTACTCCCCTATATTCGCTATACAGGTATGTGCCACCAAACAGGGTATGGATTTCAGTGATTCTACTCTGGAACAAGGTATATAAAATCGTGCTCGCTAACAGGGTATGGTTTTCAACAATCTTGCTCTGGAACAGGATATAAATTTCAGTGATTTCACTCTGGATCAGGGTAAGAGGGATCAGTGGCACATCTCTACCCTAAACAGACAAGAGTACCCCCCAGGTGGGTGAGGAAGTACATTGATCAGCAGCTCACACCACTAATGTGCTTCCCTAGCTATGATGCTATTCTATAGAATGTCTTGCCCCAACCTCTCATAATTTCTTAGGTCTTACACTTATGTATCTGATATCTTTGTTTCTAGAAGCGGAAATCTGGATGATGTGAAAAAAGCTGGTAGCCTACATGAGTACATGGTTTATCTTCATGATACTTATGGTAAAATCGTAGGCTTTTGGTGGGGGGAGACTTATACTGTCAGTGTTGCATGTCCATATCTGTGGAAGGATATTCAGGGTATTTTTGACAGGCCTCGTAAGTATATAAAAAATATATATCTAAGTATGTATTAGCCAATTTAGTTACCTGATATATAAAATAACTACTATAGTACCTAGGTTTTTACAGTGAAAGTATCTCATTTAACTCAGTTGACTAAATTAAATAAACAAACACCTTTGAAAGGGGGTACTAGCTATAGACTGGAGAATACACAAACACCCGTTCTATACTCTGTGAAGCTGGTGGTAAGCATAGTAGACTATGCATCTATGCATCCCAGCTTCAACCATTACACAGGAAGACCATCATTAGTCCTTCTCTACAATATCATGATGGGTAGCCACACGTAGACCCATATTAAGGGACTCTACCCAGTCTTTCATGATATGAAATCTGGAAATGTTTTCCAAGAATTTAAGAGCATTTTAGAGAGAAAATAAATGATCACCCCCCCTGAAATTATATACAAAACAATTTTTCATAGAGTATACGAATTAGCCTTAAGTTTCAAGAACTAACTCTAAGTTTTGGTATTTTGTGAAGTCCATTTGTAAGGCATCTTTGAAAGTGAAATTTACATTTTTTTTACAATAGCATGAAGATGGTTTGACTAGTTTGTATACAGTATGCACTTAGAGTACATTCAGATGTTTTTCACTTGTGTTGATAAAATTGGTGTTTCTTTTGATTGTCCAGCATTCATTCAACTTTGATTGTTGTTATGGACGGTTTGCAGGTGAGCTTTTTAAGCTGTTTGAGCCATTGATTGGAAAAAAGAGCATCCAGTATAAAAATGGGCCAAAGGGACGTCAGCTGCGACAAGTAACAGACAGAAGTTTCAGTCATGAAGCTGTCATGAACTACTATGACTGCATTCTTGAGGTTTGTTGATAATTAATCTTTTGAATGCTCAAATGATGATTTGAAGGGGCCGTATCTCCATCCATCCATCACTCACTCAATCAATCAATCAATCCTTTATTTCATCATTACGTCAACCAAGAGCAAAGGTGTGTGCTTGATAAGAGGTCTATGTATTAGAGGTATCCCCCCTGTTGAATGGCAGATATTATGATGGATGCATGCAAATGAGATGCAAGTGAGAAAACAAGCATTGTATAACACAAGGATATCTCATTACGGCTCAACTGTAATAGCTCAGATATTCATAAGAGGTACATATAATCAGTGTGGGCTGGGCATAAATCAAAATGGCTATGTTGCCATATATGGCTACCTCTTTTAATTCTTTACTGGGAACTCAAATTGCAAAGCTCATTCAAACTTATTGTTTCAGACGGCAAAAGAAATGGAAGCAAAATGGGAATCCTTGCCAAAAGGTGAACATATTCCACTTGAGAAAAATATGATTTATCTAGCTGTTAAAAGTATGGGATTGGCTGGTCTAGGCAAGACATTCAGAGGTGACAAGGAGAGTGCTAAATTTATTGAAGCATATGAAACGGTTAGTGTTCATATTTTTGGTATCAATATTTTACATTTTTATTAAATAAGAATATTAGCTCATATATACATAATATAGATTTTATTGTTATCATTATCATTACCATCATCGTAATCGCAATCACCTTCAACATCATTATTATCATTTTCTTGATCACTGCCATTATCATCATTGTCATCATCACCATTGATCATCATCATTATCATCACTACCACCACAACCACCACCACCTTCATCATCATCATGTTCATCATGATCATCGTGATCATGATCATTATCACCACCATCACCATCACCATATTCATCATCATCATCATTGTCATCATCATCATCACCACCACCACCACCACCTTCATCATCATCTTCATTTTTGTTGTCTTCATCTTGATCAACCATCCTCATCATCATCACTAAATTAAAATCAATCCTTAGTGTTGGCAAGAAATGGAGGCTCAGCTGGGAACCCCTCCCCCCACAGAAGGAAGTGACAGGCATGAGAAATTTGAAGAAGGTTAGTAAAGTGTCTCTAAATGATAACATGTTAGTAACATTTACTATATTATTCTGTAATATTCCGTTGGAAGTCAGAAAAACAATTTGTTTTTATAATATAGTCAAGTAAATCCGCGCGATCTGATTGGTTGAAAAGCATGAACCATTTGCCCATGGGTTGCACGCTCACGTCAGCTTTTTTAGCTTCGGCGAAAAAAAAA